CTCTCTCTCTCTCTCTCTCTCTCTCTCTCTCTCTCTCTCTCTCTCTCAAGATCAATTGAATGTCGTTTCAAAGCTTTCTTTGATTTCTGATTCAGATGCAGAATTTCCTTCGCCGGATGCTTCGACGGACTTTCGTGTGATTAGACCGTCTTCGTCGGCTTTTTCGATGATTTCACAGATGAGCGGCGATTCCACGCCTAGAATGTAATGGCAAATTTTCGGTTCCATCAAAAAAAGCGACACTTTTGACATTGATGTTGAATTTTCCAAGCATTTCAACTGGACTTCGGTTTGACGCTTCTCGCCCGTTTCATCACAGGTTGTACCGCCTTGGTAGTGGTGCGTGATTTGTGTGCGAACACCAATCTTTTTCGGACGTTTCTGTGGGTTTTCTTTCAACCATTCTTTGTGCGCATCTTCATTGAAATGACCCAGCATCAGCGAGGTCTCGCCATTTTTATCGATGTGGAACTGGCGCACGTAACGACCGTAACAAAACTCATACTTCCACCAACCGGTTCCCTAGAAGGAAGAAAAAAATTGGTATATTTGAAAATGAAAAACAATGCAAAATATGTTTAGAATGAATATTTTCTGAAAATTCATCAAAAGTTGTCAATTTCAAAGAAAATATCGAACAAACGAGTGTTAACATTCCGATGAGTAAACCACTTACGCCAGTCAAGCAATTTTTCCCTTCGAGAAAATCGAGAACCGGTGATAAATTATTATCAACTTTGGTTTGAAGCAACGGTGTTTTCGGTGGCGTCGATGATGTCGCATCATCTTTATCACCAGCTAGCGATTCAGCGATGACTTTGCTGATGTCTGGGATCATATCATTGGACAAAATGTCTGATTTCAAAGTTCCATCCTGAAAAAGTAGAGCAAATATCAGCAAAACAGAATGTGGATTGAATGACGTATCACAGTATAAATACTAGTACTGATATATCTGTGTCAAATGTTTGAAGAATATAAAATCAGTGTAAAAGAAAATAATGGAAGTTTGCATTTAAAAAAAAAAGATTTAGAACGAAAAGCATGCAAAAGGAGAACGAAAAAAATTTAACTAAAACAAACCTTATTTATTTTAACTACTGAAACTCGTGGGGTATTATGGTTTTTGGATACTTCCTATTGCAAATCGGTAGTGTGTGAACAAATCAAATATAGAAAAAAAGTGAGAGAAAAACACAAAACAATGCAAAAAAATTCAAGCAAAGAAAAGAATTTAAAAAAAAAATAACAAACACGACAAACAAAGAGTGTAAGAGTGTGTGAACGTTTCATACCAGAATTTTCTTCATATTCTCCACTTCCATCATGAGCATGCTTCTAGGCTTGGGTGGTGCATCATTTAGAGGGAAGCAGTTGATTGCGTTGTCATTGGTTTCTTTTGGATTGAAGCTTGGATGAACACAAAGGGTCGGTGTTAGAATGACAACCTCATAGTTGCACGTTGCCGTCTCTTTCAATGAGTAGACCTCATTTTTGCCATGCGGATAGCAAACGTATTGAACATTTGTAATTCGATGTTCGCCATTGAGATCACAAAAGGTCCCATCGCTCATTTCAATTTCCAAATACGGTAAATTCACGCCATCAATTCGAATTGTTTTGTACTTTTCGCCTCTTTTCTCGGCATCCGCCAATTTCTGACTGAGCTCCTCAGTTTTATCCTTGGTCCATTTTCCCAAATAGTACTCCTGCACCTTGATCGATTTACCTTCGCGTTCTTCATGAAATTGCTTTACATAATTGCCATGGCACACTTCATACGTCCAGTAGCTTTCGATTCGGTACGAACAAGTTGCCGACGAAAAGAGTGTCGAAACTAATTCCAATGGCGCCAAACCATCATATTTCGTCTCCTTTTCCGCTTCTGGCTCCTCAATATTCGGTAGCAAACATTTGTACTTCTCTTTGTGATGTGTTGTCATCACAATTGATTCGAGATTTTCTGCTGCAGTCTCTTTCTGTATATCAAATGAAAACATGATTAGAATCCAATTGACTTGACATTTTTGCCGGAATCGATACATTGATTTTCGTGAATATTTACCAATAGCTTTTCATCAGCGCCTGGCCAATTGATTTTGAATAAAACTGTGTCGTCAAATCCCTTGTACTCATTACATGTTACGACAATCAATAGAAATGTGTACCAAGTACAGACCGATAATAAATGCTGCCTTCGCAACATTTCACACAAACTATTAACCTTCCGCTTGAATTATTAATACAGATTATTTCGTATGCCGTTCAAATTCAAGCCATTCACAAGCGCTTTGTCTTCTCGATTAGTTGACGTTCGCAATTACAGATATAGGCTCGATATTGTATTTGTTTTTAAGAAAAAATCCGAGGAGAATCAATGACAACCACGTCATTGTCAAAAACACTGAAACTATATCAACACACACAAAGTTGTGAGTGAGCGGATTTTCAACACCAGAGGGCCTGTCATGACGATACGCTCGGGCCTGTCGAATCAAAACAAAACGACAACCGATTTGAATACACAATTCGTAGATGGAAAAAATAATAATCTATTTTTGATGTGAACATCGAAAAAATGCGCTTTTTTATTGTTGCCACACAAACAATTACGAACATTTTTTTTTTTAATCATTTTTTTCTCATTTTTTTTTATGAACAATTACATTGAATTTGTCGACCAAAAATCACCGACAGCAATACATTTAATCAAGCATAAATTGGTCCCTTCGATTCATACGTTCGATACAATATCTTATTTTATTTTTTATTAAATTCTTGCTTTTAAAATGTCATTTATTTGCTTTGAAAATTAGTCTTAACTGAATGTTGTGTCATAAAAATAAAAATTAAATGGAATTTTACATTAAAATATAAATGAAATACAAAATGAAATGCGCAAAATAAACTTCAAATTGGTGGACAAAACTAAATCAAACGAAACATACTGAACGTGATGTCTTTAAATGAAGTTATATCCAAAGAAAACCGATGTTGAAATATTAAAACTAAATTGCGCAATGAATAAAATGGAATATGGTGTAGTTGAGAAAAGACGCATTAGACTTCTTTTTCTTCATTGTCAACAAACATTGAGGAGAACATAATCTGGCAGAAACGTTCCACTCCTCTCGATAAACGAGTATAACAGGCTGGCTTATTCTTCCAGGCCACACCGACATAATAAACTGGAATGCCGGCCGCTGTGATTAGAATGCCAATCACCAAGTTCTTCGGAGATTCTATGCTCGGCAACAAAACTAAAATCATGCATAGAACGATAAATAGGATTGGAATGATTAGGTTGACACGGATTGGCCGCGGAAGATCAGGTCTACAAAAGAGAAGAAAAATGTGAAATTGTTCAAAGAATTAATTATATGTTTAGGAATTCACAAAAGAGTTAATGGATTTACTTAGTCTTTCTCAACCATAGCAAAGCAGCAATACTGGCCACAACCGACAACCACAAGATTTGACTGAAGTAGTTGATTAACAAGAACACATTCGATGTGAAGAGCATTATCAATGAGATTATAAGCTGAAAATTTGATTGAATTCAGATATATTGGTATGAATGTTAGATAGATTAGATGTCTCTATATTCTGTCTACTTTTCACTTTCTTTTTTCATTCGAGTCATGAGTGGGGAATGGGAATTGGTCTTACTCTTACCGAAAATATCAATGATGGTATTGGAGTCTGCTGCTTGTAATGAACAAGAGAAAAGAACGATGGCAAATTACCATCCTGAGCACCAGTTGCGAACAATCGTGCGGATGTAAACACAACACCATTAACTCCTCCTGCAAAAACGAATTTCAAATTAGAACAAAAAATTTATGATTGAAATATCATAATATTATTAGGATTGTATTCAACTCACCGAAGCAACTGAGAGCTACGAAAATTGGGATGCACCAAGCAACCGGTCCAAATACTTTATTCCCAAAAGTCACAGCTACTGCTACCGAGGCAAGCATCTCATCTCGTGATACGACGGCAAAATAGGCCAAATTCACCAACACATAGATGATGGTGACCATCGGCATTGCAATCCAAATAGCTCGTGGAAGATTCCTACAGAAGAAATATTGGTCAGAAAGTAAAGTAGAATCGTTCATCGGTTTCATATTTGTCATATACCTATATGGATCAATGAGCTCGCCCGTAACGAAATTCAAATAATTCCATCCACCGAATGCGAATAGTCCCGAATAAAATGCAAATCCAATGCTAGCTGCATCATATCTACCGTCCCATGGATCGCTGAAATATTCCAAGTCACCTGCGAACAATTGATGTTTGTTATTCATTTTTTATTTCTTTTCAATTTTAAATCAACAATGTATTTGGAATTCAAAGAAGAAAAAAACTTGTTTAATTGAAAATATAAAAAAAAATCACTATTCTGTCTAGTTTACCTGTTGACATCGTGTATAAACCGGCACAAATGATGCTGATTAACGCAAATAGTTTGGCAAAGGTAAAAATATCCTGAACTTTCATCGAAAGTTTCGTCGAAATACAATTGATTGCCGTGAGAAGAGCTGCAAATGGAAATAAATTCATGAATATTTCATGTTATTCGATCGATTTCACAAAATGATACTCGTTAAATAATTCATTACTTACACAGGCAAACAGCAGCCAAAAGCCGTACCGGCGTGTCTGGTGGTTCACAGTCCGTGAAAAATGGTTTGGCTGCATACTGAGCAAAAGTCAGTGCGACAATTGCCTAAAACACACCAGAAAAGAATTACAAAATTTCACAACAGATAATAATTTAAACAAATGTATGAAAAAACAAATTAAGAAACTACGAGTGACACAAAAAAAAATGATTAGCATAAAAGGCATACTTGTGTCGTTGGTCGAATAATAAGTAAAGCAATCCATAAGCGTAGGAATCCGACAAGTGGTCCGAATGCGATCAACAAGTAAGCATAATCGCCGCCTGAGCGTGTGATGCATGTACCAAGTTCAGCATAACACAGCGCACCCAATGTTGATAACGTTCCACAAATGGCCCATATCATGAGCGACGTGCCAATGGATCTAAACGAAGCGAAACGAAACGAAATGAATCGATAAACCAGACAGTAAGATATTTATGGTTCCATAGTACCAGCGAAGGTCATATCGTTTTTATTTGCAAAGTGAGTGAATGTGTGAGGCGGCGGAAAGAGTGTATGCCCTTTTATTACATTGCGTTCTAGTGAGGATGCGTATCTTCTCGAATTGATTCACAAATTGAGTTGCGCAAATAATACACGAAAGAGTGAGACCGAGAGAAGGGTGGAACTGAAGTACTTTGCTTGAGATTTTCGTTTCATTTTAGGTTCATATGAATTGAAGTCATTAGATTCAATCAAAGCACTTTCCTTTATAAAGTGAATCATTGTACTAGACCATTCATTCTGCATGTAAAGTCTTTGGAATGATAACCTTAAAAATAGAATCAAATTAGGAAAATCAAACCAAATTTAATGGTGCAAATAAATGTGTATATCGCCAACATTTTACATGATGCAATAAATCGTATAAAAAACATTCGAATGAATTTGATGAAGCAATTAAAATGTCATTTTATGCAACGAACAGCACTTTTTATTGCAATTCGTTTTTTTCTGTGACTGACATATGCACACAAATGGGCCGGGCATGAATGCAAAAAAAAAACTGGGACAGAAATTAGTTTGGAAAATGAATTTCTAAACTCATAATGTCGATATAAAAGCTAGGGGGATTTAACTACGTGAAAACTTGTAAAAAAATGATATAAACGCGCACGAAATTGTTACATTCACCAGAGAACTTGCATGATTCCACTCAGTTGACAAGTTCCGTATTAAAACAACATGCGCGAACGCGCGCGAGTTCGTGTGCAAACTTGAAGCTGGACGACGCGCACACATCAGTCGTTCCATTTATTATATCTGGATTAACTTTTCCAATACTTTCTCCAGCTCTTTAAAAATATTTCCTTTGTCCATTTTATAATTATATAAATCTTTGAACTTTTGGAAAGGATGTGAAAAATCTTTATACACGTAAACAACCAATTTTTAGTTTGAAACGCGTTTTAGTTGTCAAATAACAACTTGAAAAACGCGCAAAATCATAAACAAACTTGTGTAAACTTGTGACCGTGCGCGTTAGTACGTACAACGAACGCGTCGAACTTCCGCGAATCAAGCAAACTGGCAGAAAACATGCTGAACTCGTAAGAGTTAAATTCCCCTAGTATAAAAGCCACAATTCTCTCTCGTAACTCAGTGAGTTAAACTCACTCGCTGAAATCTGACAATAGTTTATCGCGCGACGCGAAAAAAAACTGCCTATTTAGATGCACTCGACTGGAAAGTTTTATAACAATAGAACGCTTGGAATAGGCGCACCTCGTAGTTTTTCTCCTTCTGCCTCTTCAATGGAAACATGATTATGCAAAAGTCTGTGCGGAAAAGCCATACTCACTGTGTGTAAAGAAAGACGCCAGTTGGTGAAACAAAGATGCCCGATCCGACAATCGTTCCAATTATGATACCCACACCATTCATGAGCGTAATTTTTCGTTCTATAACCACACGATGCTCAACTTTTTCCGGTGCCAATCCATTGAGTTTATCGGTGGCCGCATTTCCCACTTCAGAGTTATTATCATTTAATACTCCTGTCACCGTACTATTTTCACTATGCTTTTCACTCGACATGATTAACTCAATTTTGGTCGTTGTCGTCGTCAAATTATCAAAACAAGAATATAACCACACTGTTTGTTTATTTTATAGTTTAAAAAGTACGCATTTTCCGAAGCAAATTTGCATAAATCAGCATTAATTACAATATAATACTATAGATATTGATTACAATGCTTTCGCTATCGTTCGCTAAACTAAATCAGGTAAAATAATTACCCTGTCGTCAATGTTGTAAATCAGCTACTTTTTTATTTTTCATTTATTCGCGACCGCACTCACGCCAGCAATTCTATTTGTTTTCGTAAAATGTACACGTTTTTTTTTCTTTCTCTTTAGTTCAACGACAAGTGAATATAATCGTAAATTTTTCAACCGAATAATTAAACGGACGAAACAAAAGACAGAGAAAATACATTCACAAAACTGAACACGAACAACACTCCAGTACAATTAAATGTAAAATTTTCGTTACAACGACTTTTTGTTATTATGCATCGGTACAGTGGAGCAAACCGAATGGGAAAAAGTACGTATATACTCGGTGGAATAAATCAACAGGTTAAAGGAAAAAATGCAGCACCGATACACGCTCAAAATGGAGCGGTTGAGAGCGCTTTAATGTTTGTTTTTGCAAATGCTTCGTGTTGAACGGAATGGATGAACACAATCGATGGCGAGTGTAAGTGCGAGAGTGAGAGAGACACACACGCGGATAAATTGCTGGCGATTTACACGTACACATTCACAATAGAAGACGGTACAGAACGAATGCTGCGAAAGAGCGAGCTGGCGATCCACTTGAGAATTTCTCGATTCTTTTCTTCTCGCGTTTCTTCGTTCCTATAATTATTGGTTCCAAAATCGTGCTTAACATGAAATTGCATGCAGAATGCAGCATGGAAAGTGCAAGAGAATGGATGAAATCCTCCCGAAAAAAAACTATAATAACAACACTCGACTCTCTTCGTTTTGCTCGGTCGTTTTGCTTTTCCTTCAACACAAATTGGCACAATTATTTACACAGTGATATCGATTCGATTCGTATCGCTTGCAGAAAAGACAGCAAAGTGACTTATTACACGCATCTCCAACGAACGACAAGCATCAGCATGTGAAACAATTTGGCGTCGTTGCGTCACTCCAATTCCACCAAAGCATTTATACCAAAGTGGTATTTGACATTCAACAGTGTTTTTTCTTCATTCACTTCTATCCACGTTTAGAGAGATTGCGCGCGCGTGTGTGTGTGTACACATGAACATGCCTTTTAAACACTCGAACAAATTATTATTTCGATCACTTGTGTTCGTCGGTAAAATTTCTTCTGTTGTCTTCTTGTTCCCTTTGCAAATACACTTATCCAGCGAACGAATAAAAATGTGCGTGTTGATAAATTCGAAGAATGAAGCACTGTGTTGACCCACTATGGTTATGGTTGTTCACAGCTTGTCAGTTTGGAAGAGAGCACAAGAGAGCGACCGTGTGTTGTTGGTTCAACTGTTGGGAACGTACTGCAGAACGCGTGTCTACCGGCTTTTGTATGTATTTATGCTTCGTTCTTCGACGTCGTTTTTTCCGCTTGCCCAAGTCGAGCATTTGATGTCGATGGACTTTTTCGGACCGGTATCGAATTCTTTTCTCGTTCTTTTCACTTATTCTTTTTTTCAACTTTTGCAATTTGTATTGGCCCTTCCATACGTTTCGGTCTTCTCCATGACAATCACCAACTGAGCACGTACAAATGGATATTGTACGATGAAACGTTCGCAGTGCTCGATAACAGAGCACAAAAGGGGAAGCACACACATGGAGAGGGGAAATCGAAAGCAAAAAGAGAGCGCGTACAACGCAAAGAGAAAGAGAGAGAGGGAGAGAGAGAGAATGGAGAAAACCATTCTGTTGCCGATAAATATATTCTCGTGTACAAATGTGTCATTGCAAACTACAACACGTGCTTTTATTGTAAACATATTCCGCGAAACACATAAAAAATACGATGAGCACATTTCGGATTTGTTTTGAATTGTAAAAGTTCAGTTCGATTGATTGGCAAGAGAAAAATCTGCTCGTTTTGACGTTCACATAGAATGAATGTCTTTAAGAATTAACTTGCTCTTTCAGTTAGTTACAATGGAAATATATGCAACGTCACACAAATAAATCATTGATACAGGCCAAATAAACAGTTCATTATCGATTCTAATTAGGCTTTGCTGGAATGCGGCATTTCACATACATAAATGAGTCCAAGCATGTGCAATTTTTCAATTGACATTTTTCATATCTGCATATTGAACGGAATGTTAGATGATCGAGAATTTTTTTAAAAATATTTCTAATATCGTTAATTTTGATACACAACGCCGCAAATTAAAAATTAATTAGCTGTTATTGGAAGCGTATTAATTCATGGAAAAATTGTTCAATGGAGAAAAGTGTCACAAATTACGTTAGTCTATACGTTTTTCTGCTTTGTATATTAAAACTCAATCAATTCAATCAATATTTCCATTTTATCGAACATAAAAAATCTCTTATCACATACACGTCAAATGGAAATAGTATCAAAACATTGGGTGGTAATAGAATTGCGATAAGAATCGGAGTACTACATTCATAAAAACACCAACTGTCAAACTATTTCTTTGTTTCAATAGACGATTCTTTTTCCAGAAATGAAAAGCCTAGTGAAAAGCACACTTTGTGGTCACTCTAAAATGCGTAGTAAATGAATATTACGCGAGCAAAATTATTCAAACGATATTTCTTCGCTCGTAATGAGAATTCCTTTGATGTACAAATTTTGTTTAGTTTCGATTCATCTGTGAGCATTCTAATGGTTTTTAATCATTTTTGCGAATTTGTGTCAGTTAGTAAATCCTCTTTCATCGCGTTGGGAATCTCAATTTGCACCATATTAATCAACTTTTTTTAGTTTATTTTACTTGTGCCGCATAACTTTTGGGCTATTCATATTAAAATGAGTTCTGGCTCAAATTCAAAAAATGGGAATACTTTATGGCACTTTATGAGTACGAAGTAAAAGTGCTAGTCTGAACATTATGAAACGGCACGTATGAACTGACACCACTACAAAATGTGCTGTGTTCACACTTTACCGTAGTGTACATATACGAGTATCGTATCAATGAACTGAAACACCAAGGTCATATGCATCACCCTCGCCTGTTTCAATTGCATATAAAAACGCTCGGACTGGCTTATCAGACACAAAACCGTATAACCCAAACATCGAACAAAACAAAATAAATAATTATTATATCCGATCAACGCATTGAAAAATACACTCTCAATTCATTGAAACCTTCGTCATTAACAATAACTATATGTTTGTTCTAATTGAAACATATAATTAAATTTTAAAAAATTCTCACCATTCGATATCACACCTACCGAATTGATACTTGCATAAAAAAGTATCATTATTTGTGATTCTCATTACGAATTAATTGTTGGAATTAACTGCAGACACGAATATTGAAAAAAATTAGAAAGAGCCATAATCATAAACTAAGTTAACACCTATCACACTGAGTCGCATGTGCACTATGCAGTCAAAATTTATTGACTCGATGAGACAATTCCGTTGTACTTTCAAAAAATGCTTCTCATAAATATTGAATGAGTTTTCCTTGTATAAAAGCCATCGCCTCAACGTGTTCGACACATTTAAGAGGCTATATTCGGCTTGTTGACTACGAAGAAAAAGGAAGAAAACTCAATGTAAAATGGCAACCTTTTTAAACGCTGACAAATGTTTAAAATATTTAAAATTGTTGTTACGAATTCTCGGCGTTTGGTATCCAAAGAACCGAAAAATCCGATATTTTATTTATTCAGCGACGTATTTATTTACTTGTCCGGGACTAGTGAATATTTTCATGTTCATTTACTTACTCAAGCTGACTGATCAAGAAGATTTAACCTACGGTTTATATATATATTTGACCCAGTTTTGTGGATTAATTAAAATCATGTGTTTTCTGGTGAACAATAACCATTTTCAAAAGTTGATTGAACGCGCCGAACATTTTCAGTTGGAGAATGAATTCGAAGAAAAATTGGTACGACAACGCATTCACTTCTTCTTCAAAGTAGCCGTGTTTTATTACGCTATGGCGATGACAGCCATCCATACGACAGAGCTGATGGCCATTTTTGCTGAACCGGCTGAATTGCCATATATCTCATGGTATCCGTACTTGGATTGGGAACACAATAGACAAGACTATTGGATGGCCATCATCTATCAATACATCTCCATCAATTCATCCACTCTCTTGAATATCACAGTTGACATAATGTTCAGCCTACTTCTATTCATTCTGAGCATCGAAATTGAGCTGATCGGACTACGATTTTCTAAAATGGGTCATGTTCATGGAGAAAACGGCCGTTTTGAAGAAGGACCTGAAAGTGAATTAGCGTTCGAAACAAAGCAATTTGATATACTCAAAAAGAATATCATTTTACATCGGGAGGCGATTGCATTCAAATGCACGTTAGAAGAATGCTTAAACTTGCCGTTCTTTGTTCAAATTTTGGCTAGCGCTTTTGTCATTGCATCTATCATCAATGCGATGGCACATGTATGTATAGACTCAAAAATGAGACATTTTTTGTAATATTTCGGAAAAGATTTTTTGTTTGAATTTGATTCTGGTTTTCATTTTCATTTTTTTTCCTCATTCTTTACTTTTAAGTCTAAATTTTCATAAAAACTATTTTCTAATTGAAATTCTACATCGCTTTTCCAGGATACACAATTTGCTCTGCCTTACATCTTTGGCGCCGTTGCGTTGATTACGCAAATTTTCTTACCATGTTTCTTCGCTAACAAAGTGATTATTCAATGTTCTGAATTATCCTACAGAGTTTACGAATCGAATTGGATTGTGATGTCGAATTCAAGGCACTTCGGTATCAGATTCAAACAGTGTATCATGATTCTGTTTGAACGACTCAAGACTAATACCGAAATCATTGTGGGCATAATTATTCCTCTCAGTCTTGCTACATTCACTTCGGTAAAACGAATATTTACTTTCCCAATTAAATAAGAATATTCTTCATTAATCTCAAGAATTGCAACCGTCCTTTATCTTATTTTCTTCTAGATTGTAAAAATTGCCTATCGACTGTACGCCGTGCTGAATGATAAAAAGTAATGATGTTCCCATTAAATTGTTTTCAATTACCAAATAAAAACGGTTAAATTCTCAAATTGCTCTGCGAAAAGAAAAAAATAAAGCGTTTTTTCAACAATGATTTTGTCACAAATTAAAATGCGGATTTCAATTTATTTTAAGCCAATAAAATTTGAATGACACTCTTATCAAAGTGTAATATAAAAATGTAAACAAACACTCACTCTGATAATGCAAACATTTTGAATGTTTCAAACATGCTAAAAGTGTTTTAGCGCCAATACAATTAAAATGATGATAGTATCAGTTGTTACCGAATAAACGTCACTCAGCACAGCACAGCAATCAGTTGTCAAATATCACGACTTCAATTAACACGGCACGTCATTGGTCTGCTTTAAAAATCGGAAATAATCCATAATCAAAGGCAATTATCGTCTGGAAAATTTGTGCTTCCAATCAATTTAAGGTATAACGTCATTGAACCTTCAAATCGTTGTGTGAAATTTTTCAATTTTGTTTCATTTTCATTGTTGTGCATATTCCAAATAAGAAATTACATTGTATTGCAACAAAAACAAAACCACTGAATGCAAATCAGCTGTTGAATCAAATGTTGAACATGTTCCAAACAAATGTCACTTGTTGTGCAACGGAACACATAGATAAACAGTTGACGCTTGCATTTTGCGTTGGACTTTTTTTATAACAATTTTATTCCATTCATTTTTACTTGTGTTTTTTTTCCATCGTTGCTTTTCAGAGCTAGAGACGAATTGTGTTATATCTAAGTGAGTCATTGCATCGGAAATGAGTGACGATAGAATTGACGTCGAAGGAAACACCCGATCAAATATGGAAAATATGGCGAGCCCTAGTCAAATTAAAAATGTTACACCCGATCTATCAGATGATCGATTGTCATCGCCCATCCTCATGCTAGACGTCGACGGATTGGAGGAATTATTCGAGTGGCTATCATTGGTCGACTTGCGTTCGCTTCGTCAAACATGTAAACGATTGAAACAAGTCATCGACTACTTCATCAAAACGAATTATCCAGCGGTGCGAATTGGTTTCCGTTGTATTATGCCTGGAGTGTGTATCGGAGATGAATTTCATCAAATTCAACAACTTGATCCAATCAGTGTTAATATGATTAAAAAGGTTAGATTCTGCGTTAATATAATAACCCATAAATGTATAAACTCCTTGCGACAAATTTTGTCACACGTTGAACATATAGAAAATAATGCAATAGAAGTCGATGGCGACTTTTACGAATCGATTCTCAAGGGCTGTTCAAGTTTGAAATATTTGTACGTCAATGATGAAATGGTAGTCGGAAAAAATGGATGGCTATGTCGTCAGTACCCGACGATTGAACACTTTGCGATTGGCGAAGACGAACCGGGATCGAGTGAAAAATTTACCATGGTGAAAACATTCTTCGAATTGAACCCGAACATTCAAACATTTTCCACTTCGTCCTATCTTCTTCAAGTAAATCGCAACTATTTTTTGGGATCAAACATAAAAATCGACCGATTGAAAATTCGCGAGTCCAGTTATCCCCTGGAGACCATGATTGAACTTCGTGATATACTTAATCAGTTATACGATCAAGGATCCTACAAGCGATTGCATTTGTTCATCGAGTACGTCAGTGATCAAACAAACTTGATTCGAATATCATCGACACGCGGAATGGAAAAACTATATGTCCACTATGCTGCCGTAATAGCAGAACTCACACTGCCACCGATGCCAGATTTAAGAGAGCTTTGTTTAAGCCGCGATGAATTATTCCAAAATTTTGAGTCCATTGCTAAGAATCTCATGAACGTTGAACGTGTTTACGTTGAGAAAGCTAGAATCGAGGACATTGTAACATTTGTGCATTTTGCGCCGAAGATAAAGGAAATCAAAGTACGTTGGATTCAGGATGGAACTAATTTCAAAGACGGAGTCATTGACTTGCCAGCACTGAACAAAGAGCGAAAACGATTGCCTGGTGCATGCAAAGTTACAGTTTACGTTAAAGAAAACATTTTTCTATCAACGAAATGGGCAACAGCAAAGACTGAACTCAGTTTAGTCAGGCTCAAGCGAACTGCAGCCGTCGATTGGGTCCATAGATTTGAGTAACACAAAGTAGCAAAAACACATTCCATTGATTTTGTTCATGTACTAACTCATCCTAAACCTGACCTCCTTTGACTTTCAACTTTAATTAAAGTTTGAGCACTTTGAATCAGCATTAACAAACTTACGATAACACACTTCGGTTCTGTCATTCTTATAACTGTACCGATCAATCGATGCGTCAGAGAAAAAATGTAAAATTAACTTGAAAAAATCAAGTCGATTGACTTTTGAACTTTGCTATATCAATAACCATTCAAATTTGCAACTGAGTGTGAGTATAAATTCAAGAACTTTTTATAAAAAAATAAATGATTTAATTGCATCATTTTTATATCTTTTTCCTCTTTCTTGTCACATTTCATAATTTTTAAGCTTTATTATGTCCCAAGTAAGAAATTCTAACAAATATGATCTAAAATCTTTGAAAAATTTAAGGACGCACAACTTTTGCTATCATTACGTTGACCACGCAAATGTTCTCATCGTGTTTTTTCGCCAACAAAGTGGTCTAATCGGATTGCGATATCGAATTTATGTATTGGGTCTCTGACCAGCATGTTCTCAGCTTGCTGTGAACACATATTGGCATGGATGTATGCTTCGTAATAAATAAATAAATAAATAATAGAGTACTTCAGCATCAAATTCAGACAGTGTGCTATCATCCTGTTCGAGCAACTCAAGACCAATACCGAAATTATTGTGGGTATCATTTTTCTTCGGAGTCTTGCTACTTTCATTTCGGTAAATACGTTGTTTCTCCTTCTCAAATAAATCCGTATTTTCCTAATTAATCTCATTGATTTCATCGGCTGTTTATCTTTTTTCCAAGATTGTAAACATCGCCAATCAACTGTTCGCTGTGCTAAATGATAAAAAGTAATAATATTCCGATTGAAATTGTATAAATAGAAGTCTTTATTTCGCTGTGCGATTGTTCCAAATTTATCGCTGCATATTCTATCATCATATTGTTGTTGATCATTCTTTTTTCGCTCTCTCTATCTCTCTCGAGTCTTTGACTCTTCTCCGAATGTTATTTTCGGATCGGAATGTATCGAAATTAATAGGCTTGTCTTAAATGCGAGAGTGAGTGCTCGGTGCGGATTTATATCGAATAATCGCTTGCTTTCCCTCAACTGCATATTACGTTCGTTCGGTCAGTCAGCTTTATTGGTTCATTTATTTTCGGCAATATTCAGAAAATGGATTGTTTACATCGCCCGATATCCATTAAGCCGTTTTACTTGAGTGTTTTATTTTTTGTTTCCAATGGCCCCCCGACGCAAAAAAAAAAAACGATGAGCCAAATAATGAAAATCGATTCATAAGCGCCTGTGTTTTTATTTGAATTATGTTTTCTCCGCCGCATTTTTTTTCTATTGTCTGAATCAGTTGATTCATTTGAATCGTCTGTCTTCGCAGCACCGAGTGAATTCTTCGGAAACGGACTTATTTTAGATTTGTTTTCAACTTGCTGTTTTTGTTGTTGTTGTTGCCCATGGCTAAGAATTTCTTCATTCTGAATAAATAAAAATGATGACTTGAAAAAGAAAGAAAACAAGCGATGATGAGGACTTTTCTTAAAACATGATGACAAACACACACACACACTCACACTCTGAATAAGTCATAAAATTGTGGACAAATGAAACACATGTCCCCTGCTTTGATTAATATTTTGAAATGTATGTTTTATTCTGGATTTGCATGTATATATATATATATCTCCACGGTGTCACTAACTAGAACAAAAATCTTGGTGAAATTAACTTAAAAGAAAAGGAATAGTTGTTTCCCCTTTTTTCCCAACCAATGGATGTTTGACCGGTTGACGTTGGCCGATGATGGACTCGAAGGCTGAAGACTGACATTGTTAGACATTGATCGTGGCGTGTATGGTCTTAGTTGTTTATCCTAAACGGTTTTAGTACGATTACAATCTGCAAAAGGAAAAGAAAACATAGTAAATGAACGGAAATGTGAGGCAAACGGAAACAGACTCAATACAAAATAAAATGCGAACAAAAAAAAACTGAAAGTGACTTCAATGTTTTCTGTTTATCTCGTAAAATCCAAACAGACACAAGTCACGTACGATCACGTCAATTTGGGGAAATTTCCAAATGTTCAGTTCGATCCGTGTTTTCCCGCCCAAATTTTTATGTTGCAATAAAACGATAAACCATGTAAATTGTACAAACGTTCGGTGAGGATGGAGAAACATGACATTGATGTCAACAACTTGCTCATGCATAAACAAGTGGATGCCATTTGGTCGGATATTCGGATCGTGATCTCAAGGATTCCCAAATAAACTATAAATTTGTCGATATATCGGAACACATGTTACGAAAATGGACTGCTACGCCAAAACATGCCGTCGGCTAGTTTCGCAATTTTCCATTAACTCGCCGGGACCGAAAGATCAGAAAAAAAAAAAGAAAATTGGTTCTTTACACAATTGGAAAATCGTAAGTATCGGTTGAAATTGACTTGTCCTTGAGAGAAATGAGAAAATTAATTTGAAATTAAACAGATGAAAAATGCGAGAAGACCAATTCAATTAGCTAATCGATAAAACCTATTGCTATTGTGCTAGGTCTCGGCATTTTTGTAGCAAAAAACGGTACTCTTGGCACTTGAGAAATTTTACGCGAAAATTTTCATGCGGCCCTAACGTTTGTTGGTTTGGAAATTGTAAAAATTTATATATAAAAATGTGGCGATATGAGACAGCCGAATGTGGAGGCGTTAATTTCAAACAAGAAAAGCTACAAAGACACGCTGAGACGAAAATTCATCTGTATTTCATCGAAAGCAACATCTCTATCGACATATAGACACAATGTTTTTCAATCCCAAACTGGCACCATACAAATTGCGTATGAAATTTTTTCACACACACAAACATATATTCCTGCCGTCCCGTGTGATTATTCTTTGTTTGAATACCTCTCAACAAACGCGCTCGCTCTCTCTCTCTCTCTCTCTCTCTCTCTCTCACTCTCTCTCTCTCTCTGCTTCTCGCCGGAAAAATGATATTTTGCTAAAGGTCAACTCAACGAACGAGAGAGAAATGATGGTGCAAATATGAAAATATTTTTATATGATTGGCATGAAATCGAGAATATTTATGATGGAGCCAGTTTTCTTGTCGACTGTCTAATTTGTGGTGTTTTTGTGTTTATAATGCGATCCACAACACATCGACCTCCTTTGCATACGTTTATGGCAGTTATATATTTCGACTTAAAATCCGTATTCAACTCTTTTATGTCCCCCAGTATTTTTATTGTCTGCTTTCAAAATGATTCTAGAATTCCAAAATGATTTTCTTTTGGCTAAATGGAAAATCATTATAAACGCCATTAAAATAATTTTCAAAGAAATTTTGTCCGAAGAATTTTGAGTTAAGAAGAAATTCAACGAAAAGGATAAAAATAGCTCGACACCGCATATCAACATTGATCAAAAAAAATTGGATAATACATCATTCAAAACCTCATAATTAACAAACTTAACAAAATGTAAAGTCAATCATGGTAATAAAGTTATTTTTACAGTGAGATCTCTTGAGATTATTTAGTGTGCACATTTGTCGGTGTAAACGAAATAACTACGTTCAAAAACACTAATTATAGAGGAGAGATAGATAGAGAGAGAGAGAGAGAGAGAGAGAGAGAGAGAGAGAGAGAAAGAGAGAGAAAGAGAGAGAGAGAGAGAATAACAATAAAAATCAAGAAGCTACAGAAACGAATTATGTAATGGAAATCGTAGGAATTGTTTCAACGTGTTGTTATCGTTTTTGTGTTAGACATTTTTTTTGTCTGTTGATGAGAGATCATCAAGAACCGAAAATTCTTCATAACGTCGTCACTATTTTATGGTCAACCGTATTATTTTTCTTTTCATTTCGCGACTGCTTTTGTGATAAAATTCATTTATCTTCGTTGAGCATTTCCTAAGTTTGTACAATAAAGCAGGAAGAAAATGATTTTTTCTTTTCTTCTTCCTAGCCGTTTTTCCATTTGATATATTGTTTTTTTTTGTTGGTCGGTCGTCATGGTCTTTGATTTGTTGTTGTCTTTTTGCTCCGTTTCATGCTACTATAAAATTTATTGCCCCACTGAAAAAATAGATAACACACTAACGGGATGGCATGGGGACAGGAAAAAGAAATCTATGTGGCAAACGAAAAAATGCTGAGCAGATATATATATATTTTATTGATACTAAAGCCAAATAAATGATCATAAGCCTGTGCCCGAAACACCTTTGCTTTCGTGTTCGATCGATGTGAGCGTGTGTTGGTCGAATTAATTTGATTTTGTTTTATATGTGATGCGCTTGCTGATACACAAAAGAAGAACGATCGTACATAATATGAGAGATATTTTTGAACTTAATTTATACTGTTGGCCAGGGTTCTGCTAATATAATCCGTGTTTTTTTTTGCTATCTCTCGTGCGATGAGCACATTTTTTTCTCGTGATTTTTTGCGCGATGAAAATTCATACAAGATTCAATCTTGGCGATTGCATGGCAGTTTACACGATCGTCCGAAAAATAAATGCTGGCATTTTATTTCGAAAAGATAATAAATTGACGCTGCAATTGAGAATTCATTGTGGTGATTGCTGATTTTGAATATGCGGTAGTTGGCTATTTGCATAAATTGACTGTTTTAATCAGTGATCGTGTCTTCTATTTGAATCTTCTCCGTATTTATTGCACGCAATGCCACTAAGGCTTTGAAAATATTGAAATTATTTTCAAGTGATTTCAAAATCGCAGCATGGAAAAAGCAAAGAAAAAAAGAAAAGATCGAACACGACAGGGGAAAAGAAAGGATCGCCAAATGGAAAAAAATAATGAACAACGCAGCCGAATCCAAGAAGAAGAAAAAGTGGCAAGCATTGAGCCGTACACAGTAGATAGACAGATGAAAAACGGATGGAAAATTTTAAAAATAGCCACCGAAATGAATGGACTTAATATACATTTCATGATGCAGAAAATCAAGTAATTATGATTGCGCACGGCTAAAACAACTCTCGAAAATCGCCGCTTCTGCTTGCCCAACCGTCCGACTCGATTCGTCTTGCAAACACAGAGAAAAAGAGAGCGAAGAAAAATTTCATTGCTGACGAATCGAATAAAGTGCGTAGCGGTTGAAAAACAATAAACGAATTTTTGCGCCTGATGGAACAAAATTTTCAACGGATTTTTTTTTCAGCGACCGTTTGCTAGCTGGACCACCGTGTCACACATTCCTGCTCGTGATATGTTCTTATTTTAGACTTGGTCAACGACTTTTTTCTTTGATTTTCGGTGTCAATGGTTATGAATAAAAATGTAACTTGCTTCACTTTTTGTACCGAAAATTCGCATTCAACTGGATATAACAATTCGTTGATATGAAAATTTCTAAGAAGTCACTTTCGTTTTTTTTCCATTAAAATTTCTCTCATTTCTCAATATTTCTTTCAATTCTCTCATTTTCTCTTATTTATCTTTCCTCCCACCAAATCGATTGTGTGAACCGGGAAAAAAATGCAGAAAAAAAATGTTGGCGATGCACTTACTTATTCAAAAGACTGGCATACAACAAATATAACGCAAACAGCAAAACAACCAAGACCAAAAAACTGGTCATTAAACTTCTTGCTTCATTCATTTTCGATTGATCTACAAAATAATATAGATTGAAAAATTAAATAGTTTCACTGTTAATTGGCCAAAAGTTAAAACAAATCACTTCATTTATTTTCGATATTTTTCTTTCTTTTCTCTCTCAAAAATAAAAACTCAACTGTATTTTTTGTAGCTACGGAAGAAAAAAAAATTGGAATCGATTTGTTACTTTGAACTGGATGCGCGTCGTGCTCGAACAAATGGCGAATACTCTCTAGTCGAAAATGCTGGGGAAAAATGTAAGCGATGCCCGCGTCGTTCGGCGAACGGTCGATTATGTGCGTGTTTTCCTTTCGATTTTTATTGCGATGTGATACGCGAAGCAACCTCACCATGGAAAATATGATTATACACCGAGTTGTATTATTTCGCTATTGATGCGCACCGTGTGTTCCACACGTACATTTGCAAAGTAAAAATATTTCGCAACAGTGCCTCGGTTTTGAGTTGAGATCGTCCCGACTCATTCGGATATGTGAGCGAAATTATGCGGACTCTCTCTCGTTTGTCCGAAGAAGCAAAGAAAAAAAAAACGAAACACACAAGCACATATTTTTATATTATTTCAATATAAAGCGGTGCGGCCTGTTCAGGCTCTATCCATTGCGTGATCAAATACAAAAAACATTCGCATTATATCCAACGAAAATCTGTTCTGTTTTAAACTTCTCTCTCAAAACCAGATCAACTACAAATTGAAACAAACGTCGGTTTTTTTTTGCATATTTTGCACAGTGGCCATTTTAAATCGAAATATCACTTAATTTCTTAAGCTCTTTTACATTTTGAAATTGCTTAAGTTGATTCTCCGATATTGAGTTCGAGTATATTTATTGATTGTCATTTGTCTTATCGATAAAGAAACGGATACATAGAAATTTTAGACGATTCGAGTGTCTTTAGTTTGTTTGTTCGTTTGTTCTTAGATATTAGGTTTTGTTCGAATGTGTTGTTTTTTCTCAAGAAAAATGGTTTAAATCATAGTAATGAAAATAACAATAATATAGAGAGACAAAGGAAAATTATTGCAAAGAGACCTATTCAATAGGCATATGGAAATTCGAATTGTATTCACATTGAGCGACTAATTTCATTTGTTAGCTGGAAGATGGTGTGTGGAGTTCGGGGTTTATTCGTAGTCACTGTTCCACGATAAGCGTGACTCATAGAATGCAATGACCATTTGTGGACACTTGGTGTTGGCATCTTTGGCTAAAACAAGAGTGGCTTTATCGTAACCCTTCCATTTAATCAAAAATTCCAATTGACCTTCTTTATCGGATGCACCTAAAATTTGTTCGGGTTCATCGCCGTAATCGAAACCAATCTCCTGACTTGGCATGGGCTGTTCGTCGCTGCTGTCCGCACTTTCGCCATCGCTTTGCTTCGTGTTTTTTTCACGAGTTTTCTCGCTATTTCGTTCACGTGTTTTGCCATTGATTTTTTCGCGACTCTTTTCGCTGCTTTTATGCACTTTATCACGTCGTACCGAATCAGGTGGCGATTTTTCGTGACCATTGGATAGTTTTGCTTGCTTCGGCGGTGTACCTTCGTGATTACCATTTCGCTTGTCCAACGCACGCTTCGATCTGGATTTCGGAGTTAGTTCATCCGTTTCCATGAATGTGGCGTCATCTTCGTCGCTCGACGAACTCGATATTTCCACTTCTTCGGTGGTTTCATTGTCCTTTTGCTTTTGCTGTTCCAATTCCTTTTCCTTTTGTTTAGCCTCATGCTTTTCCTTCTCTTCCCTTTCCTTTTGCTT